TTATATTCTGCATTCTGTTCTATTATCATGATGTACTTATGTAAGGTATGATTGCCTGGATAGCACGCAAAACAATACTTTTCACTTTATCTCGGTATGTATGACAAGAGTAAATCAAATCAAATCAAATCATGTCTGTGTTCCCCATTACAACTTCTCCAGCCAACCATCTCATCGATATTCCAGAAATTCCTTTTTTTTGAGATCAACTACCAACCCAATTTTCCATGTCCATCTGCATATTGAACACCCCCATGATAATTGTAATGGTGCCTTTCTTACATGCCTTTTCTATCTCCTGATTTATTTTCTTCCCCACATTCTGATTGCTGCTAGGAAGCCTGTACATAACTCCCATCAGGGTCTTTTTACTTTTACAATTCCTCAACTCTTCCCCCATAGATTCTACACCCTCTGACTCTATATCACTTTGTACTATCGATTTAATTTCATTTCTTATGAACAAGTTAAACCTATCCCTGTGGCCCATCAGCCTGTCCTTTTGATTGGACGTGTATCCTTGGATAACCAGTTCCCAGCCCTGATCCCCTTGTAGCCACATCTCTGTGACAGCCACACCATTGTACCTGCCAATTTCAATCTGTGCTATAAGCTCATTTACTTTGTTTCAGATACTGCGTGACTTTAAGTATAACACCCTCAGTCCTGCATTGATTGTCCCCCTTCTCATAGTTGTCCCCTTATCTGCTGAGCTTGAAGTTGGGTGGAGTGTGAAAGACACTATAAAACTTCAAGTTGTTGTTGTTTAATCAGGTTTGAGCCAATCCACACATCAGCTTCTACATTTTGACCTAATATGGGGTTCAAATGTTGCAGAAAGAGACTGGCAAATGACATCATCGACAACAGAGAACAACAGTTGCTGCCTGTGCTTTGAGCCTATTTTCTTCTTGTTTACATCTTTGTCAATTATTGTTGAGAGCCAGTTCTGCTGGTTTTATCACAGATCATAGAATCCCTACAGTGTGGAAACAGGCCCTTTGGCCCAACAAGTCCACACCGAACCTCAAAGCATCCCACCCAGACCCATCCCCTTATAAGCCACCTAATCTACACATCCCTGAATACTATGGGCAATTTAGCATGCCAAGCCACCAAGCCTGCACATCTTTGGACTGTGGGAGGAAACCGGAGCACCCGGAGGAAACCCACGCAGACACCGGGAGAATGTGCAAACTCCGCACAGACAGTCGCCCGAGGGTGGAATCGGACCCGGGTCCCTGGTGCTGTGAGGCAGCAGTGCTAACCACTGTGCCACCGTGCCACCCCAAATTTTATTCTGCGTATTTTAATCTGTGGTATTTTTTAATCTGGGTATTTTAATCTGTGCTTGATTTCACTGACATAACAATTTGCTGAATAAAAATCTATTTATCTGACCATTAAACTGTGTATCTCTCTTATCGAGCTAATTAGTTTAAAAGTATGACCAGAAGCTGCTGTCAGCTTGTGCATATTTGAAGTGACAAAGTTTTCACCTCCCACATCACCCAAACTCGCTGTGTATTCATGTGTTATCGAAAACCGCCTTGTAACAAACAGCAACTGAAATGGCCAATGGTTCAAGCCACTTGTTTGAGAGAAGCTGCTGCCCTTGAGACGTATAAATAATGTCAGGATCAGGGTGCTGAGGCCTGCTGGGGGTGTCCCTAACTGTAGACCACAAGGTCCAGGATCAAGTCCCACCCTCTGATACAACACAAACCCACAGGTTGCTTATTAAAATTTCATTTAGATTTAGATTGATCTTTTTGTCACATGTGCTAAGTATAGGAATACATAAGTACAGTGAAAAGTGCACAAAGTTGCCAATCACTGGCACCCACATGGTTACAAAAACAAGAATTAAATGTTTTAACAGAGCCAATAGGTAAGCAAGAGAAAAAGAAAAGTCCAGATCTCAGATTCTCAGAGTCACATCTCCACAATGGTGCAGGGGCCGCTCCGATCACTAGGACACCCAGGAGGCCATCACTGCCGCCATGTGAGAGGCCGACTCTCATGCCGTCGCCACCTCACCGGTCCCACTCTCACCACCGTCACCGCCTCACCATCCAGCACTCACCGCCAACAGCTGCCCCCCCACCAGCCCCACTCTCACCACCCACTCCCCCCTCACCATCCCGCTCTCACCGCCTACTGCCCCCTCACCTGCCCCACTCTCACCACCTACTGCCCCCTCACTGGCCCCGCTCTCACCACCCACTGCCCCCTCATCATTCCCGCTCTCACCGCCCACTGCCCACTCACCGTCCCCACTCTCACCGCCCACTGCCCCCTCACCTGCTCCGCTCTCACTGCCCACTGCCCCCTCATCGTTTCCGCTCTCACCGCCCACTGCACCCTCACCTGCTCCGCTCTCACTGTCCACTGCCTCCCAACCCATCCCATTTCTCCATCGTCACCTATCCTTTCAGACTCTGCTTCAGACCTAACCATTTAATTTCTGAAACAGAGTCACACTGGTCTGGGAAACATTAACTCTGTTTCGCTCTGCAGATGCTGCCAGACCTGCTGAGTTTCTCCAGCAATTTCTGTTTTTTGATCAGATTTTTGGGTTTTTTATCTTAATGTTGCACTCCTCAATTGGTGATAAAATTTGTTCATTTCCTCACTTGAGAAAAATTTTGCCATCATTTTACTGAGAACACACTGCTATAAAAATTCCAGTTGTTGTTATAAAGAGGAGGGGTTTTGGCCCAGTGATTTTTAAATAAATATTTGAACATTTACAGGGTTGAAGCAAACATGTGAGTTTTTGATGTTTAAGTCACTGATTGTGAGGAACTTGCCCCAAATAAATAATTAACGTCTCTCCTGAAATGAATCTCACCAAGCCTCATTTGGAAAATCCAGCCAGTAATATCCTTCCTCAGAACAGAGTAGCCATACAGTCATTGAGTCATAGAGTAATACAGCATGGAAACAGGCCCTTTGGCCCAAACTGGTCCATGCTGACCATGGTGCCCACTTAGCTAGTTTCAATTGCCCGCATTTGGTCCATATCCCTCTGAATACTTTTCATCCATGTATCTATCCAAATGTGTTTTAAATGTTGCTATTGTACCTGTCTCAACCACTTTATCCGGCAGCCCATTCCATATACACACCACTGTCTGCATGAAGAAGTTGCCCCTTAGGTCCTTCTTAATCTATCCTCTCTCACCTTAAACCTATGTACTCTAGTTTTCAATTCCCCATCCCTGGGAAAAAGACATTCATCTCATGCATTCATCTTATCGACGCCCCTCATGATTTTATTTACCTCAGTAAGGTCACTCGTTGTTTTCCTACATTCCAAGGAATAAAGTTCTATCCTGGCCAACCTCTGCCTATTATTCAGGCCTACTAGTCCTGGCAACATCCTCATAAATCTTCTTTGCACACTTTCCAGTTTAACTGTGTGTTTCCTATAACAGGGTGACCAAAACTGCATACAATTCTCCAAAGTGTGTCCTCACGAATGACTAATACAACTATAACATAATGTCCCAGCTCCTATACTCAATTCCTCGATGGATGAAGGCCAGCATGGTAAATGCCTTCTTCACCACCCTGTCTACCTGTGATGCCGTTTTCAATGAACTATACACTTGTTCTCCTCGGTCCCTCTGTTCCACAACACTCCTCAGGAACTTACCACTTACTGTAGAAGTCCTACCTTGGTTTGACTTTCCTAAATGCAACACCTCACACTTATCTGTATTGAATTGCATTTGCCAATCCTCAGCCCACTTCTCCATCTGATCAAGATCTCGCTGTAATGTTTAATAACCTTCTTCGCTATCAACTATACCTCCTAATTTTGTATCATCTGCAAACTTACTAACCATGCCTTGTGCATTCACATCCAGATCATTTATCTAAATAACAAATAACAAAGGTCCAAGCAGCGAACCCTGTGGTACATCACTAGTCACAGGCCTCCAATCCAAGAAACAACCTTCAACCATCACCCTCTGCTTCCTACCATCGAGTCAATTTTGAATCCAGTTAGCTAGCTCTCCCTGGATCCTATGTAACCTAACTTTCATGACTAGCCTGCCATGTGCGACCTTGTCAAAGGCCTTACTAAAGTCCATGTAGATAACATCCACTGCCCTCTCTTTTCCTTTCAGTGACTGGTTTACAAGAACACCCAGGTCGCATTGCACCACCCCTTTCTCCAATCTATCACTCTTCAGATAATAATTTGCCTTCCTGTTTTTGTAGCGAAGTGAATAACCTCACATTTATCCACATTATCCTGCATTTGCTATGCATTTCCCCACTCAATCAACTTGTCCAATTTACATTGAAGCATCTCTGCATCCTCTTCACAGCTCACCTTCCCATCCAGCTTTGAGTCATCTGCAAACTCAGAATATTACATTCAGTTCAGTCATCTAAATCATTAATTGATACTGTAAATAGCTGGGGTCCTAGCACTGATCCCTACGGTTTCTGACTAGTCACTGGCTGCCTTTCAGAAAAAGACCTCATTCATTTCTACAGAGATAGTAGGAACTGCAGATGCTGGAGAATCCGAGACAACAAGGTGCAGGGCTGGATGAACACAGCAGGCCAAGCAGCATCAT